TTCTCTTGGCTAGCTTTGAATGCTAAGTCTTTTTCTTTCTTCTTTGTAGAGGATGAGCCATCTTGAGGTGTGATGTGCATGTACATCTCATGAGCATTGATCTTTCCCAAGATTTGTGTCGGTGTAGCGGTGGAAAGATCACCTTGGTGTAGCACGGTCACAATATGCCCATATTTGTCAATGGGGAGGACACTCAAGATCTTTCTCACAACGTCGGATGGTGACATTTGAGTAAGTCCAAGCCCATTGACTTCCTCTACAAGAACATTCAAACGTGAATACATCTCATTAGCACATTCTTTGGGAAGCATCTCAAATGAATTTAGCTTTTTAATAACAAGATGATAGCATTCCTCACGCTCACTCTTAGTTCCCTCATGGAGCGCACAAACGTCCGACCATAGTGCATGGGCATCTTTGTGATTCCTTACGCTATTGAACACATCTTTGCAAAGGCCTCTAAAGATGGTGTTGCTAGCCTTTGCATTCCATTTTTCATAATTCACTTCATCGCCTTGTAAGTGAGTAGCATCCCGAGGTTTCGGGAAGCCTTGTGAGGCGGCTCTAAGTATACCAACGTCTAGAGCTTCTAAGTACGCCTCCATGCAAATTTTCCAATATGGAAAGTCATCTCCCTCAAAGATTGGAGGAGGTCCATCCCCGTGAGACATCTTGCTCTAAGCGGTTAAGCTTAAAAACATGAGCACGAGGCTCTAATACCAATTGAAAGGATCAAGATGCCCAAGAGGGGGGTGAATTGGGCTAATTCTAAATTTTCTTGCAATAATTAAGTCCTACGGATAGCCCTAATTAACTCCTTGTGCCTAGAAAGGTGTTTCTATTAATCTAACGCACAAAGGACTTGCAACCTATGTTCCAAACTTACTTTAGCATGGCAATTCTATGAATGTAAGAACAAGTATGGAATTGCTTAAAGTAAATGCTCAAAGTAACTGCTCAAAGTAAATAGAGAGAAAGGAATGTGGCGATGTTTTGCCGAGGTATTGGAGAGTCGCCACTCCCCACTAGTCCTCATTGGAGCACCCGCGCAAGGGTGTAGCTCCCCCTTGATCCGCGCAAGGATCAAGTGCTTTCTACAGGTTGATTTTTTGACACTCCGTCGTGGCGAATCACCCACAACCGCTCACAATCTTGAGTCGGGTCACCCACAAGCTCTCCGGATGATCACCGAACTCCCAATCACCACCAAGCCATCTAGGTGATGGCGATCACCAAGAGTAACAAGCACGAACTCTCACTTGACCACGCTAAGCCTAATGAGAAGATGGATGCACACTTTGCTACTCTTGATTCACTAATGAGGTTTCACTCTTGGATTCTCAAATCACAAACACCTCACTAGGACCTTGCTCTTCTTGGCACTCACAAGTGATTCTCAAATCACAAACACCTCACTAGGACCTTGCTCTTCTTGGCACTCACAAACGTGTTTCTCAGCTGTTGGAATGAGCAAAAGTACCCCCTCACACGAAGGGATCAAGTATTTATAATAGCGGCTGAAAAATGAACCGTTATGAGCTTCTACGGGGTGACCGGACGCTCCGGTCATGTTGACCGGACGCTCAGGTCAGTTCAACCCGCACACCAGTGTTTAAGTGATGACCGGACACAGGCAGGGTCCGGTCAGCACTGATCGGACGCGTCCGGTCGCATTAAACCCTCACTGGAACCTTATTGTACTCGACCGGACGCTGAACCCCCAGGTCCGGTTCAGTACTGACCGGACGCGTCCGGTCGTTGATTTTCATCTTTGGAACCTTACTGGAGTCGACCAGACGCTAGCCCTCAGCATCCGATCACTTGACCTCTCCAGCGTCCGGTCAACCAGATGAGTTCACCTCAGTCAAATGAGCTGACCGGACCCTGCGGCCAGCGTCCGGTCGCACCGGAGCCAGCGTCCGGTCAGTATTTGACCCTCCATTCACTTCCAACTCTCGATCATACGTGAATGAAGTTTGCTCCATTGGATCAAAGGGCTTTGTAGGAGCTACCTAGAGCTAGACTTAGCAAGTGTGCACCACACCTAACTCACTAGACTCACCTAGGTCAAGCTACCCATCCATACCCCCCTTAATAGTATGGCCAAAGGAAAAAACAAAGTCCTAAACTACTCTAAGTGTCTCTCCAACTCTAATCGACACTTAGAACTAGTCATCCTTAACCTTGTCGTCCATCCTTTGAAAACCGAAACGATTTCCATCATAGGGGCATGACATCCATGATTGCCCATTCGATCTCCATTACCATGACCTAACTTAATTGCCTCTACAAAACACACGTTAGTCATAGTAATCTTGTATTGTCATTAATCACCGAAACCCAATTAGGGGCCTAGATGCTTTCAGAGGAAAACGAGACTTGGCAGCTCGTCGATCCACCTCCAGGATGTCGGCCGATCAGCCTAAAGTGGGTGTACAAAGTCAAGAGGGACGAGCTCGGTGCCATTGTCAAGCACAAGGCAAGCCTCGTCGCCCGAGGCTTTGTTCAGCGCGAGGGCATAGACTTCGAGGAGGTCTTTGCGCCAGTAGCGCGCATGGAGTCGGTCCATTTGCTACTTGCTTTGGTAGCAGCAAAAGACTGGCGCGTCCATCACTTGGACGTTAAATCGGCCTTCCTCAACGGCGAGCTGATGGAGACAGTCTTCATCAGGCAACCTCTAGGTTTCGCCGTCAAGGGAGAGGAGCACAGGGTGCTCCGACTGCGCAAAATGCTCTACGGGCTATGGCAGGCCCCTCGAGCATGGAACGCCAAGCTTGACGCCACGCTGGGTGAGCTTGGGTTTCAACGGTGCGCAACCGAGCATGTGCTCTACACATGGCGACGGGGGAAGGAGGAGCTTGTCGTCGGCGTGTATGTGGATGACTTAATCGTCACCGGCACGCGCATGGAGGACATCAACAGTTTCAAGCGCGAGATGGTGTCTCGTTTTTGAATGAGCGATCTCGGCGCACTCTCCTACTACCTCGGCATCGAGGTGAGACAGGGGAAGGAGGAACTCATGCTCGGTTAGAGCGCGTATGCCTCCAAGCTGTTGGAGAGGAGCAGCATGGCTGAGTGCAAGCCATGCGTGACTCTGATGGAGGATCGGCTAAAGCCGACGAAGGCCAGTACCACGGCGAAGGTGGATGCAACACTCTACCGGAGCATCGTCGGTGGTCTACGCTGCCTAGTCCACACGAGACCAGACATTGCGTTTCGCCGTGGGCTATGTCAGTGGCTTTATGGAGGATCCCAGAGAGGATCACTGGGCTGTGGTGAAGCGGCTACTGCGCTACGTCAAGGGGACGGTAGATCACGGGATCATCTTCCCAAAAACTGGCGAGAGTAAGGCTGCAGCTCAATGTGTTCAGCGATGCAGACATGGCGGGGAACATCGACGGACGACAGAGCACCTCTGGGGTACTCGTATTCCTTGGGTCGACCCCAATTTCATGGTTGTCGCTGAAGCAGAAGGTGGTGGCGCTATCTACGAGCGAGCGCATGCGTGGCGGCGCGCCGCGCCGTGGCGTGTTGTTGTTGTGTGTAGCTCGCCGGCTGCCGGGCGAGCGAGCTAACCGGTGTGGAAGCTCACCCACCAGCACTGATGGTGGACAACCAGCCCGCCATCTCCCTCACGAAGAATCTAGTTCTGCACGACCGAAGCAAACACATCGACGTTAAGTTCCACTTCCTCAGGGACTGTGTCGATGGAGGGCAGATCGTCATCGAGTTCGTCGAAACTGGTCGGCTACTCACGGACGTCCTCACCAAGCCGCTCGAACGATTTCGACTCACGGAGCTGAAGGAGATGATCGGCATGGAGAGGGTACAAGGGTTAGCAGTAGGATTAGGGGAAGATTGTTAGCTAATCTACTGCTACCTTATGTGAACACAGCAAGGGGAAGGAGGCGCCGAAAAGGCCCCTATTTGTGATATCAGTAGCCGCAGTGCGGTGCAGCGCCGATCTGCTCACTGCAACATCAGAGGCACATGCAAGGGGTTTAGCAGTCACTGTAGTTATCTAGTTATCATGTTATAAAGCATGTGCTAAGCTGTCTTTGGGACTAGATGGATAGAGTTGTATAAATAGACTACCACGGCAACTCAGTAAAGACAGCTCATATTTGTCATCTCACAGACAGGGCTTCGGCCAACGCTGGTGTCTTGTATTATGCGTGCATGCTCTGTTCTCCCTTCTTCTTCTAGCTCTAGCCATAGTGTGTGGGGACGGACAACGCTCGTTCGTGGTCGGCACGGCTAATGGGTGCTCGGCAACACTAGCGGGTGCTCGGCAAGACTGGAGAGTGGTTCACTCGCCTGAGCCGGTGATCCTGTGGGCCAACAGGCATTGGCCTGCGCACTCGCTTGGGCCGTCCACTTGGAATTACAGGATCCAGCTCTCGTTCAGTGTCCTCTTCGCTTGTTGCCAGTTGATGAATAGGAGCAGCTTCAGGCATAACATCAAGTCTTTTGAACAACCAAATATTCTCCAAGCACTTGATGTGGTACTCCTATTATGATTGCTGTCAGATGAGGCAGTGAGCTGCACTTTACTAACATCTGCTATTTTTCAGGACGATTTGCTGTCCATCTTTGCTTGACTTGTCCACCTTAGGTATACTCATTTTCCTCTGTGCTGCTAAACTCAGTCCCTCCATTTTCTCAGTTTTCATATGATCATGTCTCGTTGATGTGCTTAATAGTGAGCAGATGTGCTGTAGACCAACCTATATGGACGCTTCTTGTGGTGGGCATGCAGCTTCTGAAAATATGATGAGGTAATTTTTCCCATTCTTGTATACATTTATTTACCTTAACAAATAAATTTTTTATAGTTCCATGTCAAATTAAAGCCTGCTGGACTTCGTTACTGGCCACATAATGTTTCCTGCTTGTAGAGTTGTTTTAGGTGCATGCCCATGAACTGTATAGGACACTATGAACATAATGATAATGTGGCTTCTTGCCTCTTTGGAGAATATTAGGAGCCGACCAATTTAATGAGAGCTGATGGAAGCCATTCCCATGAAAACGATAGTAATGAAATTGAGAAATTCTGGGTACTTCACCTGAAGACACTTGCTTCGATGCTTGATGTGTTAGAGAATATCATTCCTCAGATGGAGAACTGCAAGGTCAGTACCCAGGTGTCATATATATATGGTGATACAGATTTATTATATCGATTTCCTTCTGTACCTTCTCCTTCTATTTTCTTTTCTAATGGTTATTTCATCTTGTTCATGCCTGACAGTTGGCAGCCAATACTGCAGAAAACGAGAAGACAATGAAGGTGATTTAACCCATTCTCTTTTTACGGCTCTGGCTACCATTCGAACACACCAATCCGTCAAAATCTATTTAGATACATTTGTTTTTTCAAAGAACAGATGTGACAAGCCCCTACTCGTCGTATATTAATAATAAAAAAAGTTATTTGCAAAGCAAAAGAAAAAGAAAAAGGAAACATAATAGCAAAAAATGCCTACTCAAAGGAGTCCAGCCAGTTACTCATATCTGGGTTATTTAGATATCTTGGCAACAGTAATGTTCATGTAGATGTCTTTGGAATTCATTTATGCTGATTTTATCTCCAATTAGTTAAATCTTGTTTATCTTACTACAGGGTTTACTGGGTTCTTACTACACTATTGTGGAAAAGCTATTTGTAGTAAGTGGTGGTATCTTTCTCTCGTATGCATACTTGCTCGCCCAAAAGCCACAAGGGAGCGTCGATGGAATATGGATGGCCATATTCATAGGAATCTTCATAGCATCACTAAGCAATTTCATTCTGTTAATCCATGCTTCATACTTGAAAGAGAGGGGGGTCCATTGACGGCTGTGACCCTGGAATCCTTAAATGGCTGATGCTTTTAGTGCTGGCATTCCTTTATGCACTATTTTGTATCCTACTGCGGGCTTTTGCAAATGCCTCCGACTTGGTTTTATGGCTCATCAGAATCATAGGCCTCTGCTCAATAGTGCTCGGTTGGGTTTGGTTCTTTTACAGAAAGTGGCCCAAGGTATTGTGGTTTTGTTGGTAACAATAGTATAGTACTTGATCAAAAAGAGTGAAGAACTGAAGGTAGATGTCATACTGTGCTTTCATACTGTTTTTTTCTCCCCTCTTTCAGATTCTGGAAGAAATTAAGGCAGGCCGTTGTGTTGGAGAAATTGGGATGCCTGAGACTGTTGGCTCTGCCTCCAGAGGCGGTTCAGACGGGTAATCTAGTTTTTTAATTATAATATGTGTTATCTGAAATGATATCAGAGGTTGGGTTTTCGTAAGGAAAGATAGGGCACAAACTTACAGAAGCATATTTGGATGGATCCTTGGTTGTTTTCTTTGTTCTCCTTTTTATCATTGATTTGTTGAGTATGGCGTTATTTGACTGCAGGCCAACCGGCATGTGCGCAATTGAAGTGAGATGAGGCTTATTAAAGATCTATCAAGTAGCTGAAGGAAATTTGGGTGCTTATATATAATCAAGATAAAAGATATTGTCTTCCCAGTGAAGCAACTTAAATATTTGTCCTTAAGTTCAACTTAATATGACTTTGTTTTTATTTAAGTGCTTGCTTTACGGCCAAAGAAAAATGTAGTCAAGGAGGAGGCCCACACCCTGTGCACTGCAAGAGCGAATTTGCTGAGATCTTGCCAATCATATAGGCCTGTAATGTTTGATACCTTTTCTTCTCCGTGGAGTGCAATGTGTTGGTTTTTTTCCTTTGGTCTTGGCCTTGTTACTTCTCCTATTTTTTTTTAATAAACGGCAGGTCCTGCTAGTTTACATTTTAAAAAAAAACAAAAAAGAAAAATGTACAGTCCAGAAATATTTGACCAAAATAATTAGCCCTGTTTGCTTTCATTTTGGACCATGAAAAGCAGCTTGCAGATTGTATACTGTAATGTCCTGCATTTTCGGATGTAAATCTAGTTATTTTTATCCATTTTAGAGCATTATTTCCCTACTTTTATCCTTATTTCTTCATAAGAAAACTGGCCAAAGATACACTGTATCATAATCATAAATTTGCCCTTAGAAATAATACATCAAACCTACTCCCTCGTAGCAAACAAAGCATTAGCAATACTATCACGAGACACATTCATGTCAGGAGTTCCATATCCTAGCTACTTTATTGCCAACATTTTCTAGGATAACAATGCCTCGGTCATGAAATTTTCATATTGATGGCACTTATCAAAATAATCATTCTCTCTCTCTCTCTTAAGAGCATCTTCAAGGATCTTTCTAAAATTTACTCTCTATGGAGAATTATTTGAGTAAAAGTCGTTTTCTATATCTTTGTATCCTCCGACAGCTTTTCTATAACTTGTGCACACTCTAGAGGACCATCCTCACTTCATCTTTGGCTAGTGAAAAATTTGAAATAGAGGATGTTTATATTTGGAGCTCTAATTAAAGAGGTTGTCGGAAGATATTTTTTCGCATATGGCCAACACTTTTAAGTAGCATATATATCCATATGTTCAAACACGTGAATCAACATTGACAAAATGCACGCTAACAAGTACATGTGTACCATCTATTAGGATGCAAGTTCAAAAATATTTTGGGTCATCGAGTCGTCCCAAAAACTTGATAAAATGAACTAGAATGGTATTCATGTAATTTGATGGGAGAGGACAAAATGAACTAGAATGGCATTTGACCGTAATTAGTTAGCCGACATAAAAAAACACCATTGGTACCCACTTGCATCCCTGCCATCTATTATGCCTATGCAATTATTGAAATGTGGTGTAAAACAAGGAATTTTCAAGTTTAGGGCGCACTTAATTAATTGAACTCTCGGTCTCTTGTTTGATAAGATCTTTAGCAAGAAGATTGTCACTGTCCAAAACTTTGATAAATTTTCAACTAATTGCTTCAACTGACCTCTCAAACCGGTTTGCAACTTGGCTAAATGATTGTGAAGCTCCAATAATCCATAAAGACAGGCGATGATATTCTCCCAGTAAGGCCTGAAACTTTTTGAATGATCAAAATGTGATGTGGCCATTGTTCTGAACACTAAGACATTCCGAGTTTTCACACGCTGCATGGTGCTTCTGTAGTCACAACCAGTTTTCTCAATTCCTCATGCTGTATCGTATTTTTTCCCCAGTGTGTTGATGATTGTATTGTTCTTAGCCCTGCTGCGAATGTACCCAGCGTGGTCGCAAACATGCTTCGCTGCCCGGAGGCGTCAGCATGAGTGCAGGACTGTGGTGAGCTGATCAGTGCTCGCATATGTGTCGTTGAGCTGATCAGTCAGTGTTTGATGTACTGAACCCAGCTCGATCTTTTGAGTTCTGATGCAGAATGCTTAGTGTCCGGCCGTCACTTGTACCGATACATAGTTGCGTATCTAGACACATAGTTACGCATCTAACATGGTAGATACATAGTTACTATCCAGAGATAGTAAGCAGATGCATAGCAATATCTATGTATTTAGAACAACCAAAACGACTTATACTTTGTAACAGAGGGAGTATGTTTTAACTGAGATGCGAACAAAGATAAAAGACTGCTGCTTTTATCCGATTTAGTTTATAACCATGTTTGTAGCAGCAATATCTAGTTTCTATAAATAGACAGATCGTTGAAGACTGTTTCCCATTCATTAATTAACATTTTATCACCTAAATAATTCTCTGTACTCCTGCGTCTGGGCAAATAGAGGAACCTTCTGGTGAGCCAAATATCTGCCAAGATGATGTGTCGCGAACAATTTTTTTGAAAAAAAAAAGTCAAGTTGAGATTGTTTGCCCTGGTTCTGTGCCTTATACTCCGTAATACAGTGCATTCTAAACATTTTATAAGACAACTTAAGGGAATCCTCTAATAACACATGTACCCATAGATTAATACCAATTAAGATGTTTCTCCGCAAATTATGGTTTCATTTTTAATAAACTTTGCCAAATCTAGACATTGACACATGTAGAATGCACTATATTTCAGTACAAATTTTAGAAGTCACAATGCACTATATAATAGGACGGAGGGAGTATTGCTTAGGGTTAATTGGATTTGTGCCATTTTTTAAGCACACCATTACTATTCAAGAAACTATACCACTGCCATTGCAACTATGTTTGAGATACGCTATTATATACGCTTGGAGATGACTTGGGCCACTATCAGGCGTATAGAGGGGTACCGTATATCCGTATGGGCAAAGATTGCCCCCTATACTTCTCGCACACACTCACTGACACATGGGGCCCACTTGTCAGTTCTTCCCCCCTATCTTCCTCCCTCTATGTGTTCTCCATCTCCGACTTGGCGCCGGCCATGCCGACTTCAGCACGCCCCTGGCTCAACCGCTCGCTCCGGTCACTTGGCAGCGGGGCGCGACATGCCTGCCCACGCGCGTGTCTAGCGACCATGTAGAAGTGGTGCGGTGGCCTCACCCTGCGATGCTTGCATTGCATCGCTGTCTCTCTTGTGGTCGTGGTAGGTGGTCGTCTGCCTGCTTCGCCCCGCAGCAGCGCCGGGACCTGCCCTCCCACGCTTTCGCATTATGCATTGTAGTGATGGCTTGATGGCTTTGCCCTTGTGGCTTCGCAGATTAAGGCTGCGCAGCAAGATGGCCGCGCCGCAGCGCTTGCGGCCATGGGGCTAGGGGCTGGGCTCGAGGTTGCTCGACGGGGGACGGGGCTCCAGCTAGCCAGACCGGGGCAGGCGGCATGCGGCCGGCGGTGCGGCGTGCTGGGCGGGCCTGCGAACGGGATGTGGTCGAGGCGGGGGTTGGGCAGCTGGTTGGCCGGGACGCGGTGGCTCGCGGGGCAGAGCGGAGGGGGCGGCCAGGAACGAGGAAGAAAGTGTTTGGGAGAGGGATGACAAGTGGGCCCAATACGTCATAGAGTGGGACAGAGGGAGAGTAACATGGGCAAAAGTGTCCATACGAAAATACGTTAGATTTTGGATGGTTGAAAGTGGGCCCAATATGCCTTTCGGTGTACATAATGGTGTATTTCAAAGTAGGAAACAATTGTAACGGCACTGGCATAGTTTCTTGAATAGTAATGGTGTACTTAAAAACGGCGAAGTTATAATGGCATAGATCCAATTAACCCTAATGCTTAACTGGATTTGTAGCTCTGTCCGAATATTGGTGCTGTTTTTGTTTTCCTGAGTTACAAGGACTAGTCACTGATGTGTAGCAACTAGCAATGAAGCGCCAGTAAAGTAATATCTGCTGAATGGTAGAATGTAGAGTGAAAGTGAATATCATCGGGTGCTGTTCTCAAGTTAGTGATTACACAAACACTAATGTGCTTCAGCACGAACCTAACTGGAGTGGGAGAAGCTTAGCAACTGTTAAGACAAAACCCCAGCCATACAGATCTGAATATAAATTCCAATCCCCCAATTCTCTAATTCCCAATCTACTTCTCCAGTTCCAGTAGATAGCTAGCACACATCCTGAATGAAATCACTAAAAGTCTACACTTGCACTTGGCTGCAGATTGGTATAGACAAAAAAGACAGCAATCTGTAAATTAACTGTTGAACCTATTCGGTCTGTACCAAGCCAGCCCTTTGACCAAAGAATAAAAAACCTTAGTATAACGAATTAGAAAGCGTATCTTCATTCCCTATTCGTTTCGACTAGTTCTGCACTCTCAATTCCACCAAAAACTTCAAAGCATCACACTGAAATCAATAACTCCCTGCATGAAATGGAACTTTGTGTTGCCGTACATGGTTGCCAACTTGGATCTGATGTTTAATGAGCAATGGCACCCATGATCCAACGAACATGGGACCTAGTTAGCAAACAAATTTGAACCTACATCACTACAACAGATACAATACTGATTTTGAGTATTAACACAGCAAAGCATAAAAACTGATTGGTGCACAATAAAGAAGCTTCACAGGTGAATAGTCTGCTGCTCCCTCAGCCACATTGCCAGCATTGATATTTGCTGATGCCACGTGCATCACACCATCAAGGCAGCCTCGACGAATATAGGGAAAAATGGGTACGCGAATTCATTTCTTTATTCTAACGCTCAATTCTGCATAATTTCTAATCATTTTGCATTTTTGCAGCAGTCGTCGTCACATGATGGCCAGCCTTGCTCCCAGTTCAAGGCATGGGTTCTGTCCAAAAAGGGCAAGGCGACGGCAAACATCGACTTTAACCCGGAGGACCCGCCCGAGGAGTATAGTGATCCCAGCATTCACAGCCGCGTCAGTGAGTA